CTAACCGTTAATAAAAATTTCAACAAGTTAAAGTTTTAATATCACATCTTTTGAATTTTAACTTGACCTTAGTTTGTTATAACTTAGAGTTAGTATGTTTCCTTTTAATTTTACTAATTTTGATTATTTTAACAATCAATTTTTGAAATATATTTTCAATACTTTTACATTTTAATATAGTAAATTAGATTAAATTGAATATAATTTGAATATAATATTTTATTTGAGTCTTTTAAATCAGTACTGTCAATACAATAGTAATGATGCGAAAATCTTGATTATAACAACATAATAATAGTTTTACTGGAATAAAAGTGAGAACAGTAAATATTACAGATAAATATATAATACTTTATGTATTAGGCATGTCTTTCTATCTTTTTAAAAATATTTTTTTATTGATTTCAGAGGGGAAGGGAGAGGGAGAGAGATAGAAACATCAGTGATGGGAGAGAATCATTGATCGGCTGCCTCCTGCACACTCCCCACTGGGGACTGAGCCTGGAACCCGGCATGTACCCGGAACTGGAATCGAACCGTGACCTCCTGGTTCATAGGTAGATGCTCAACCACTGAGCCACGCCAGCCGGGTCCATCTTTATTTCTTTTCTTTTTGTATATTTTATTGATTTTTTACAGAGAGAAAGGGAGAGGGACAGAGAGCCAGAAACATCGACGAGAGAGAAACATCGATCAGCTGCCTCCTGCACACCTCCCCACCAGGGATGTGCCCGCAACAAAGGCACATGCCCCTGACCAGAATCAAACACGGGACCCCTCAGTCCGCAGGCCGACGCTCCCATCCACTGAGCCAAACCGGCCCGAGCCCATCTTTATTTCTTACCGAACATCACTGAACACCTGGGCCTGAGCAATAATCAAGTTCAATCATTTTTGATATTTGACTTTCTCTTATATTTTTATGACTGTCAGACATATAAAAATCACAGATTTACAGGTTTTTATTGTTGTGAAAGTTCATTTGTTGAGGAGGAAGCCAGCACATATTTCATTAGCAGTCTGTAGCTTGATTTATAATCTTTAAATGTCTCGGTCCTGTAACTAGGGCCTCCGTTTGTCCTGCGCCTGGGGCACTGCGAACATCGGGCCTGCGCGCCTGTGGGCAGAGCCGCGGGCACTTCTCACTTCTCCGAGGGCCAGAGGGAAAGTGGGGCTGTGTCTACAGGGACCCCTGGGCAGGAGGGGGCTGGGGCCGAGGAATAGACGGGCCTGAAGGAGGACAGGGGTCCCGGCCAGAGGCTGCCTCCACCAGCGAGGGCCCTGGGTGAGCAGCCGGCACTGCTGACCCCACCGAGCCAGCCCCCTTCTCCCCGCGCCTTCCCCGCTCGGGAGGTAAACTTGTGCCCCACATCCCTGTTTCCCCTGCGTGCCCACACCCACGCTGCCCTCCCCCGGGCACAGGTGCCGCCTGTGCCCCTACTGTTTCTGGCTGTCCACGCTGTGCCTGCCCCTCGGCTGGACGCTGGGAACCGCAGGAGCCGTGCCAGACCTGGGCCTGTGCTGGCAGAGCCCTTAGAAGGACCCAGCAGACTCGCTGCTGAGATGGGGGTGTCTAAGGAGGCACCTGAAGTCCAGGAGGGCTTCCTGGAGGTAGCGACCCAAGCTGAGGCGTTAGCACCCCCTCCCTCTCCACCAGGTCAGTGCCTGTCCTCTGAGCCTCTCTCCCCAGAGTGGCCTTCGAGTTCCAAGAAGCGTCCCCTCTCCCCACGGCGCCGATTCCGAGAACTTGGGCTCCTGGCAGTTGCCGCTCAGGATTCTTTCCTAGAACATAGGCCTCGCCAGCCCAGGCTTCTGGGGTCTCATTGGGCAGCTGGTGGAGGTAGAGGAGGGGGGTATCCTGGGAGGAGCCTCTTCAGGGACCTGACACTGGAGGTGGGCCCAGCTGTCAGCTGGGAGGGGCGGCCACACTGGGGAGGGGACAGCAGATCCGTGTACACGAAGGCACTCTGCCTCCGGGCAGCTTCGGGGCAGGCCCAGCGAGGCCACCTCCCTCCTTGGGCCCAGAGCTTGGGCCAGCTTGCCTGGGTCCCCCCTCCACCTCCCCCACCCCACTGGCCTGATCCCGAGGGTCCCATCCACGGGTTAATGGCACAGGCCTGACTCTGGCCTCAGAGCAGGCCTTCATCAGACAACCTCCGAGGGGCAGGCCAGGGGACAGGAGTGGCAGATTCTGAGCAGGACAGTGGGGCCGGGGCAGTCAGTCTGGGGGCCCTTGGAGGGCCCGCCACCGGGCTTATTCATCTTGTGATAATGTCACTTACCTGGTTAGGACAGAGGAAGTCACCCCACCCAACACCCCAGCAAGTCGGGTTGGGTCGGTGGGAGTCGGAGGTGACAGGCGCTGATTTGTGGACAAGGACAGGGCCCTACCCCCTCAAGGTCACCGGGCTCCCCCTGTGGGGCGTGCCCTCCACGCCCACCACTTCTGAGCTGGCACCGTGCCTGCCACTGCCCGGGACCTGCAAGATCATGTTGAGCAACCAGTTCCTGAGAAGCGGTGAAGGCTGGTTTAAAATTAACTCCCCCCGCCCCCCCACCCCGCCTCCTCGGAGTTCTTGGAAAAGGCACTGGGCTCCCTCTTCCTGGGAAGAGGCCTCCAGCCGCAGCTGCTGTGATTCTAGCGAAAACACCTCACCGGTGGGGGCGGGGTGCCCACAGGCCTCCTCTGCCCTGCGGACCACAGGGAGCTCCGGGAGCCTGGCCCCAGCTCGCCCACCGAGACCCAGGAGAAAGGGGGCGGTTGTCGAGGTGCTGAAAGGGGGTGCTACTGCTCCCCAAGCCCACAGTCCCCAGCCAGGCACCCTGAATGAAGAGGTCAAGGGCAACAGAGACCAGCCTGGCCCTCAGGGGTAGGCAGAGAGGGAGCCAGGGCTACTGTGAGGCATGCACGGCCCGGCGAGATCAAGCCGTCTGCCCAGGCGCCCACCTCTGCCTGCCCCAGCTCAGCCTGCCCACTAGATGCCCGGCTGACCATGCCCAGCTGCCCAGGACCCCCCGCTAGCCCCATGGGGTAAGGGTGCTCTCTGCCAGGGGCGCCCCTTGCATTACCCACCCCCTCAACTCCCTCCTGGACAAGCCTCCTTGGGCCTGGCCTCTCTGGGGCTTTGGAGAAAAGGTTTCCTGAGAACTTGTTCTAGTAACACAGCCGTCCAGGAGCTGAGAAAAACAAGGAGTGTTTGCCAAGTGCACAAGTTAACACACACTCTCACTCTCACACACTCTCACTCAACACACACACTCACACACACTCACACACACTCACACACACTCACACACACTCACACACACTCACACACACTCACACACACTCACACACACTCACACACACTCACACACACTCACACACACTCACACACACTCACACACACTCACACACACTCACACACACTCACACACACTCACACACACTCACACACACTCACACACACTCACACACACTCACACACACTCACACACACTCACACACACTCACACACACTCACACACACTCACACACACTCACACACACTCACACACACTCACACACACTCACACACACTCACACACACTCACACACACTCACACACACTCACACACACTCACACACACACACACACACACTCTCACACACACTCACTCACACACTCACACACATGCACTCTCTCACACACACACTCTCATACACACACACACTCTCACTCACTCACACACACACTCACACTCTCACACACTCACACACACATGCACTCACACACACACTCACACACTCACACACACACTCACTCACACACACACACACACTCTCACACACAGTCACTCACACACACACACACACACTGATGTTGCTCAAGGTGGGGCTGGTGGGGTGGACAGCCATGAGGTGCTTCTTTGGAGGAGGCGGAGGGCCAAGAGGCATTTTTTAAAAATATATTTTTATTGATTTCAGAGAGGAAGGGAGAGAAACATCAATGACGAGAGAGAATCGTGGATTGGCTGCCTCCTGCACACCCCCCACTGGGGATGGAGCCTGCAACCCAGGCATGTGCCCTGACCGGGAACCTCTTGGTTCACAGGTCGACGCTCAACCACTGAGCCACACTGGCCGGGCCCGAGAGGCATTTTTAAGAGCAAAGCTTTGACCTAGCTGGTGTGGCTCAGTGGATAGAGTGTCGGCCTACAGACCGACGGGTCCTGGTTTAAATTCTGGTACCTCGGTTGCAGGCTCCTCCCTAGCCAGGGCCCTGGTTGGGATGCGTGCAGGAGGCAACCCATTGATGTGTCTGCCTCACATCAATCGATATTTCTCTCTGTCTCTCCCTCTCTCTTCCACTCTCTCTAAAAATCAATGGAAAAATATCCTCAGGTGAGGATTAAAAAAACAACAACTCTCCCTCCAGCCACACCATCAGAGTGTGGGCCTCCCCAGTGGGGACTGTGTGGCAGAACAGTCCTGGAGGGCTGCCTGGAGGAGGTCCAACCTCCCTCAGTCCTTAGTGGCTGCCTCTTGTGCTCTGGGCCCTGCCTGCTTTGACTAGACCTGGTCCCTGGGGGCAAATGTCTTCCCACGGAGCGTAGAGCTTTGGCCACGCCATCAAGGCGCCTCCCGCTCTGGGCTTGCTGAGAGATGAGCACCCGCTTCCACTCACTCTGTGACCCCAAACCCAGGCCTGACACTTTCCAAGAAGGCTTCCCTGACACACTCCTACCCCGCCTTGGCATGGGCTCTACCACTATCTCTA